GTCAGCAGGGGCCGCTGTTGGATCACCGGAGGGGCAGAGCCTGCAGGGGCTCCTTGACAAGGGCGATTTTCACCTCACGCACTGAGAAGGGGAAGAGAAAGGGGAAGTTTCTGCCTCATCCAACACTAATTCTAACACTAACTCTAACCCTAGCCCTAGCCCTAACCCTAACCCTAACACTAATCGAAACCCTATCCCTTACTCTAACCATAAAGTTACCTAAACTCTAACCCTAATCCTAAATCCTAATCCTAAACCCTAACCCTAAACCCTAACCCTATCCTTTATTCTAACCCAAACGTTACCTAAAACCGAACCCTAACCTAACCCTAACCCCTAACTCCTAACCCCTAAACATAACTCTAAAACCTAAGCCTAAATGTAAACTTAAGCCTAACCCTAACCCTAACCCTAAAACCTAAACCTATGCCTAAGCCTAACCTAACCCTAAACCCTTATCCTAAGCCAAACCCTAAACCCTAACCCTAACCCTAATGCAAGGGACATTGGTGACATCATTGGGGACGAGTGTCATCACAGGGGAGTGGTGAAAACAAAGACACAGCTCTGATGTCACAGGGACATCAGTGACATCAAAGGGGTCTGGTGACATCACAGGGACATGGTTGACATCACTGAGGACCAGTGACATCACAGATAACTGGTGAAGACAAAGGGACAGTTGACATCACAATGACATCAGTGACATCAATGGGGACATTGGTGACTTCACAAGGACAATGGTGACATTACAGAGACAGCAGTGACATCATCGGAGACACAGGGGACAGTGGTGACATCACACAGACATTGGTGATATCAGTGGGGACCAGTGACATCCCAGGGGACTGGTGACAAGAAAGGGCCAGCTGTGATGTCACAGGGACATCACTGACATTAAAGGCATCTGGTGACATCACAGGGACATTGGTGACATCACGGGGACATGGTGCCACCACTGGGGACAGTGGTGACATCACAGAGAGAGCAGTAACATCACTGAGAACCAGTGACGTCACAGGGGACTGCTGACAACAAAGGGACACCAGTGATGTCACAGGGACATTTGTGACATCACAGGGGACATTGGTGACATCACAAGGACAGGTGTGACATCACAGAGACACCAGTGACATCATTGTAAACAGGGCTGACATCACAGGGGACAGTGGTGCCATCACAGATACATTGGTGACATCATTGGGGACGAGTGATATCACAGGGGACTGGTGACTACAAATGACAGCTGTGATGTCAGAGAGACCACTGAAATCACAGGGGACATCCGTGGCTTCACAACGACAGTGGTGACATCACAGAGACACCAGTGGCATAATCAGAGACATGGATGACATCACAGGGGACAGTGGTACCATTACAGATACATTGGTGACATCATTTGGGACCAGTGACATCACATGGGACTGTTGACAACAAAGGGACAACCCTGATGTCACAGGGACATCGGTGTCTTCACAAGGAAAGGTTTGACATTAAAGAGACACCAATGACATCCTTGGCAACATTGCTGATATCACAGGGGACAGTGGTGACATCACAGAGACAGGAGTGACATCTTTGGGGACATTGTTGACATCACAGGGGACAGTGATGACACCACAGACACACCAGTGATATCAAGAGGGACATCTGTGACATGACAGGAGACATTCATGACATCACACAGCCAGGTGTGACATCACAGAGATCCCAGGGACAATATCGGTGACACTGGTGGCATCACAGGGGATAGTGGTAACATCACAGGGAAATCAGTGACATCATTGGGGACCAGTGACCTCACAAGAGACTGTTGAAAACAAAGGGACAGTCGTGATGTCACAAGGCTATGGGTGATGTCACAGGGGACCATGGTGATGTCACAGATATACCAGTGACATCATCGGGTACATTGGTGACATCACAGAGACAGCAGGGACATCATAGGGGACCAGTGACATCAGAGTGACAACAGAGGGACAGCAGTGATGTCGCAGGGTCATCAGTGACATCAAAGGGGTCTGGTGACATCACAGGTACATCAGTCACATCACAGGGACATGGTGGCACTGCTGGGGACAGTGGTGATATCACATGGACAGCAGCGACATCACTGGAGACCGGTGACATCACAAGGGACTGCTTTCAGCAATGGGATAGCTGTGATGTCACAGGGACATCAGTGACATCACAGTGACATAGATGACATCACAGTGACATAGATGACATCACGAGGACATGAGGCTACTGTTGGGGACAGTGGTGACATCACAGAGACAGCAATGGGGTTATTGGGAACCAGACATATCACTGGGGACCAGTGACAACAAAGGGAAAGCTGTGTTGTCACAGGGACATCAATGACATCACAGGGGACCTGGATAACAACACAGAGATACCAGTGATATCATGGAGGACATTGGTGATATCACAGGAGACAGTGGTGACATTACGGAGACAGCAGTGACATCATTGTGGACCAGTGACATCACAGAAGACTGGTGAATACAAAGGGGCAGCCGTGATCTCCCAAGGACATCAGTGACGTCACTGGGGACAACGGTGACTTGACAAGGAAAGAGGTGACATTGCAGAGAGACCAGTGATATCACCAGGGTCATTGGTGACATCACTGGGGTCATTGGTGACATCAAAGGGGTCTGGTGACATCACAGGGACATCAGTGACATCACAGGGACATGGTGCCACCAGTGGGGACAGTTGTGACATCACATGGAGAGCAGTGACATCACAGGAGACAGTTGACAACAAGGGTAAGGCCGTGATGTCACATTGAGATCAATGACATCACAGGGACATCGGTGCCAACGCTAGGGAGAGTGGTTACATCACAGAGAGAGCAGTGACATCATTAAAGACCAGTGACATCACAGGTGACTGGTGACAATTAAAAGATACCTGTGATGTCACAGACATAACAGTGATGTCACAGGGCTCTGGTGACATCACAGGGACATCAGTGACATCATGGGGACAAGGTGCCACTGCTGGCAACAGTGGTGACACCGCAGGGACAGCAGTGACATCACTGGGGACATTGTTGACATCACAGGGCACTGGTGACATCATAGGTATATGATTGACATCACTGGGGACAGCAGTGACATCACAGGGCACAGTGGTGACACCCGTAGGGACAACAGTGATATCACTGGAGACCAGGGACATCACAGGGATCTGGTGACATCATAGGGACAGCGGTGACATCATTGGGGACATCAGTGACATTAGAGGGGACAGCGGTGACATCACATAAGACCAGTGACATCACAGGGGTCTGGTGACATCATAGGGACATCAGGGACATCACGGCGACATGGTACTACCACTTGGGACAGCAATGACATCATAGGGACAGCAGTGACATTTTGGGGACACAGGGACCACACTTGGGGACAGCAGTGACATCACATGGGACAGTGGTGACATCCACGGAGACAGCAGTGACATCACTGGAGACTGCTGAAATCACAGTCAAGGATAGCAGTGACATCAAAGGGACAGTAGTGACATCACAGGGACATTAGTGACATCAAAAGATACCTGCACCACCTCTGGAGACATCAGTGACATCACAGAGGACCAGTGACATCATTGGGGATGGCAGTGACATCACAGGGAAAGCAGTGACATCGAAGGGAAAGCAATGAGGTGACAGGCACAGCAGTGACATCATTGGGGACATTGGTGACACCTCATGGGACAGCAGTGACATCACTGGAGACCACTGACATCACTGGGGACAGCAGTGACATCACAGGGACAGCAGTGATATCATTGGGGATGTCGGTGAGATCAGAGGGACAGTGGTGACATCATTGGAGACACCAAGGACACTCCTGGGGACACCAGTGACATCACAGGGACATCTGTGACATCATTGGGGACATCAGTGACATCACATGGACACCAGTGACATCGCTGGGGAGAGCGGTGACATCAGAGGGGAGAGTGGTGACATCACTGGGGACACAGGGACCACCCCTGGGGACAGCAGTGACACCACAGTGGTGACATGCATGAGGACAGCAGTGACATCACAACTGTCTGGTGACATCACAGGGACGGCGATGACATCAACTGGACAGCTGTGACACCATTGGGAACACCAGTGACATCACAGGGACAGTGGTGACATCACTGGGGATGTTGGGGATGTTTGGGGGCCTTTGGGAGGGCACCTGCCTGGGGGGTTTTCATGCGAGCACGGACGACTCAGCACACCAATGTGATGATCAGAGAGCACCGTTGATTGGAATCAAGCAGCAGTCTTTGATCCAGTTTTCTAACAATACTCTTCTATCAGCTTTGTCTCTTTAATATTCTTTATGTCCTTTCCCACTCTGATAGCTGGTACTGAGACCCTGTTTTCTATATCCAGTTTTGCTACTGTTTCTCTTGGTAGATCTTTCACATCCTGGTACCATCAGAAGGCCATCAGAACAACAGATCATGTTTTCACAATTGCAACATAAGGTTATGATCTCAGAGCTGCAGCATATCCTCTATATTTGCACTAAAAATCCCAACACTTCCCCCTTTCTCTTTAAAAAAGCAGATACAGTTTGAGCCAATAAGCTGTGAAAACATTGAACCAGACATGGCAGAAAAATACACACTCCTGGAAGCAGAAAGACAACGGATGCCAACCATTGTACAGTTTGGATAAGCTGATTCTGGGGGGCTTTGGGAGGGCACCTGCCCTTCAACACCAGGACTGCAGAGAACTGGGAAGCTTTACTGGGAGCACTGGGAGCAGCAGGCGGCTGGTGTGAGAACAAAAGCAGGGCCGGGGACACACGACCCCTCCCCAAACTCCAGGTGGGGATGGGTTGGGGGATCCCAGCTGGGTCCAAGGCCATGGGGAGGGGCTGCGGCTGCCACCAGCTCAGGAGCTCTGTGGGGAGAGAAAAGAGGGTGACAGCGGGCTGGGGGGGCAGGGGGGCACACATGCTCTGGGGAAGGGGGACACGACCCCGGGGACCCCCCTTTACCTTCTCCCGCAGGTAGAAGCCGAGCCCCAGCGCCAGGAAGACCAAACCCAACACGAAGCCCCCGACCCCCACCAGGATCTTGCTGTGGACGGTGTCCTGTGGCATCTCTGGGGAGAACCGGGGGGGGGATCAGGACCCCCTAAACCTCCCAGAGACCACCCGAGACCCCCTGAAAACCCTGCCCTGGTCTCCCCAAGCCCACCCAGCATCCCCTGAAACCTCCTGCCAGTCCCTTCCCAGCCCCTCCAGGATCCCACAAAGCCCCTCCCATCCCCTTTAAGAGCCTCCAATCCCCCTCCCATCACCCCCAGGACCCCCCTAAACCCCTCCCAGTCCCTTCCCAGCCCCCCAGCACTTCCCCAACCCCATCCCAGTCACTTCAAGCACCCCCCAGTCTCCTTCCCATCTCACCCAGGCTCTCCCAAACTCCCTCCCAGTCACCCACAGGACTCCCTACAGCCACTCTCAGCCCTCCCAGGACACCCCAACCTCCTCAGCACCTCCATTGCCCCCCCAAAGTGCCTCCCCATGTCCCCAGTGCTCCCCCAGACCCCTGGCCCCCCTGCCAGTGTCCCCCCATGCTGGGGGGGCTGGGCCGTACCCCAGTGCCAGCTGAGGGGGTGCTCCAGGCTGACGTGCTCCACCTGGCAGGTGTAGGTGACCCCGTGTCGGGGGGGGATTTCCAGCATCACCAGCACCTGGTAGGTCCAGTCCCCGTTGGGGACCACGTCGGTGGCCACCACGTGCTCCGGTAGCTCCTGCCCATCCTGGAACCACCTCACCTGCACCGGCGCAGGGTAGAAATCCATCACAGAGCAGAGCAGGCGGCCGGGGCCGGGCTGGGAGCTCTACGGTACCAGCGAGATGGACATGCTGGGGGGTACTGGGAGAGATGGGGGAGACACTGGGTTGAGCTGAGGGGCACTGGGGAGAGAGGGCAAAGGGCTTGTAGGACATTGGTAGGGGTTTGGATGGCAGTGGGAGGGACTGGGATGGCAATGGAAGGGACTGGGATGGCAGTGGGAGGGACTGGGATGGCAGTGGGAGGGACTGGGAATGGACTGGGGTAGAAGGGGATGGGCCAGGGGGGTCACTGGGGAGAGAGTTGGGAGATGTGGGAGTGAACTGATAACGACTGGGAATGGACTGAGAGGGTCTGGGAGTGGAGTGAGAGGTAATGGGAAGGACTGGGAAGGACTGGGAAGGGCCTGAGCGGGACTGGGAGGTGAGTCCTGGTGAGGGAACTCTACTCTGCGGGTCTGCCCAGCAACTAATGAGTCATCGGAGATGCGCGCTCTGATTGGCTGAGGGGAGGGAGAGGGGTGGCCTTAGCGAGGCGGAGATGCGGGGGGTCACTAGGAGAGACTGGGGTGGACTGGGGGACACTGGAAGAAACTGGAATGGATCGCAATGGAATAAGGGGCAACAGGAGACTGGGATGGATTTGGGGGCACTGGGAGGGGGCACAAGGCCACGAGGATGGGCACAAGAAGAGCTGAGGGGTCAGGGGTGATTCCCAAGGAGGGTTTCAGGGGCTCCAGGGTCGTTCCCAGGGCAGGGGAATTCCCGAGGGGACCCGCTCTGCCCCGCGCTCACCTCTGCGGTTCACAAGGAACGGGGTGGACACCTCGTAGTTGTGCCGGCAGAACGTGTCCACTGCAGCCCGTCTGTGCTCCAGCACGTCCTGTTGGCTGTTCCAGTGCCTGGCCTGGACCTCCCCAAACGGGGTGTCCCCTACAAAGACCCCCACATCGCTGTCGAAGTGCACATACTGCTGCCGGTTGTAGATTTTCCTCTCCACAAACCTCACCTGCTCGGTGCCGTTGATGAAGTGACACTCCTGGTTTCTCAACTCCTGGAACACCCCTGTGTGTGCAGGACACGGGTCAGGGGGTACCCTGTCCCCACCATCATCCCCCTGCCCCCCACAGCAGGTTGGGAGCTCAGGGGCCACCCCGGACCCCCTTTCCCACCCCCTCTGCCCCACGGCCGCCGCGTCACCGGCTCTTGACTTGGGGGGAATCCCTTATCAACCCCCTGGGATGGACAGGGGCATTGAGGACTCCCCCAGTGCGGATCCGACACCCCCCCAAACCTCCAGGGAACCACTGTAGGGATCCAGTGATGGGGGACACCGAGGGACCCCCATGGCACCCCTCTTCCTTCTCTCCTACCCCCCTTTTGCCCCTCTCCCACCCTTTTCCCACTGTTCTCCCAATCCCCAGACCCCCCCCCCGCGCTCAGTTTGGGGCTCCCACTTCACTCCCACTAATTCCGAGGGTTCCAACCCCCCTCTCGTGCTCACTTTTAGGGTTCCCACCCCCTCTTTTCTCTCCTCTTTCCCCTTTCCCGCCCCCCCCCGCTCACCCGAGAGCTCCTCGCCCGCAGCCGGGGGGGCTCCCAGCACCACCAGTACCACCAGTACGGCCCCAGCTCCCCGCACACGCTCCATCACCAGCGCCGGGCAGGGACTGACACCCCAAAACCAGCCGGGTGGAGCCGTTTTTGGGCTGTTTTGGACGCGCTCTGATTGGCTGAGCTCAAAGTTCGGGCTCGTTTAGCGTCGCGTCTTCCCGGCAACTGATGAGTCATTAGCAGTGTGAGCTCTGATTGGCCACAGTTCGCGTCGGTGCTTCCTGATTGGCTAAGGCCGTTCTGGGCACTGCAGCCTCGGGGGTGGGGGGTTCTGGGAGGTCCGTGGGGTGCGGGGCAGGTGGGAGCTCAGGGGAACCCACAAATGGGCGTCCAGGGGTCCCACAACTCTGCCGATCCCAAAAACGGCGATTCAGCTGTCCCGGAGCTCCGACGTGTCCCCAAAACCGAGTGGAGGGCGTTCTCTGATTGGCTGATCTCGGTGAGGGCTCGGTTTGGGTCGGGTCTGCCCGGCAACTGTTGACGCGGCAGCAGCGCTCGCTCCCATTGGCTGCTGCTAAGGGCTGACTGCCCGCGGCCTGGAGGGTCCAAGGTGGGTTTTGGGGGGGTCCCGGATTGCTGGAGTTTGGCTTTGTGATGTCCTGGATACATGGGATTTTGGGGGGCTGGCGTTGCCCAAACCTTCCCATTCCCAGGATTTTCAAAGCCCCCCCCCAATATCCCCCACTAAGCAGTACTACAGAGAACTGGGAACTCGGAAGCTTTACTGGGAGCACTGGGAGCAGCAGGCGGCTGGTGTGAGAACAAAAGCAGGGCAAGGGGGGACACACGATCCCCCCAAACTCCAGGTGGGGATGGACTGGGGGATCCCGGCTGTGCCCAAGGCCATGGGGAGGGGCTGCGGCCGCTGCCGTCTCAGGAGCTCTGTGGGGAGAGAAAAGGGGGTGACAGCGGGGTGGGGGGCAGGGGAGACACCGGGATACACCCAGAGCTGGACTGGACCCAGCGGGACCAGAACTGGGGCAATTGGGACCATATTGGGAGCACCTGGGCCCCTACTGGGGTCATACTGGGATCATACCGGGAGTGACTGCAATAATACTGGAAGTGTGTGAGAGGGACTGCAACCATACTGGGGATGAGTGGGATCAAACTGGCTTTGTACTGGAAGTGTCTGGATGTTACTGGGATCATACTGGGAGTGACTGGACACATACTGGGATCATACTACGATAATACTGGGAGTGGCTGGTTCTATGCTAGGGGCAATTGGGAGGTAGTAGGATACCACTGTGAGCAACTGGGAGCAACTGGAACCATGCTGGGCACAGCTGGGATCATACTGGGTACAACTGGGCCCACAGTGAAGGTGTCTGGAGTCATACTGGGAGTGACTGGGAGCATTCTGAGGGCAGTTGAGACCATGTTGGCCCAACTGGGATATTCTGGGAGCAAGTGGGATCATGCTGGAGGTGACTGGGACCACACTGAGAGTGACTGGGAGCGGCTGTGAGCAACTGGAATCATGCTGGAAGCTACTGGGAGCAACTGGGAGTGAGTGGGACCACACTGGGGGCAACTGGGATATACTGGGTGAGACCAGGAGTGACTGGGATCCTACTGGGAGTAACTGGGAGCATGTTAGGGTTGACTGGGATATACTAGGTGAGACTGGGAGTGACAGGGATCCTACTGGGAGGGACTGGAACTGTAGTGGGTGAGTAGGAGCAATTGGACCCTGCTGGGGGCAAATGGCTTTATACTGGGAGTGACAGGGAATGTCTGGGTTCATCCTGGCTGTGACTGCCACCATAGAGGGTGTCACTGGAGTCATACTGGGAGGGACTGGGAGGGACTGGAACTCTAGTGGGGTGAGTGGGAGCAACTGGGATCATGCAAGGGGTAACTTGGATCCTACTAAGAGAGACAGGGATCATACTGGGACTGAATGGGAGCATACTGGAAGCAACTGGGCTATACTGGGAGTGTCTGGGGTTGACTGTGATTGTTCTGGGAGTGACAGGAACCATAGTAGGGGTGAAGTGCAGCAACTGGAACCATGTTGAGGCAACTGGGATCATAGTGGGAGCAGTTGGGCCCTTATTGGTGTCCTACTGGGGTCTTACTGGGAGTGACTGCAATAATACTGGGAGTGTGTGTGAGGGACTACAGACATACTGGGGATGAGTGGGATCAAACTGGCTTTGTACTGGAAGTGTCCGCAAGTTCCTGGGATCATACTGGAGGTGACTGGACTCATACTGGGATCATACTGGGAGCAACTGGGACCATGCAGGGGGCAAATGGCATCATCCAGGCAGTGCCTGAAAGTTCCTGGGGCCATCCTGGACTCAGACTGGGAGTCCCTGAGAGGGAAAGGAACCATCCCGGGTGGGGCTGGGATCAACTGGGACCACCTTGGGGGCAGCTGGGATCCCATTTGGACTGACTGGGAGTGACTGGGATCATAGTGGGAGTGATCAGCACCATACTGGAATCATAGTGGGAGTGACTGTAAGGATCAAACTGGGAGTGACTGGAACTATGCAGGGGGAAACTGGGAGCCAGTGGGGCTGTGCTGGAAGCCAAGTGGGAACATTCTTGGCGCAACTGGGATCATGCTGGAAGCAACTGGGAGTAACTGGGAGTGACAGGGTGCATGCTGGAGGCAACTGGCATGAACTGGGAGTGACTGGGATCACACTGCTGGGAACTGGGACCATCCTGGGGCAAGTGGAAGTCACTGGGTGCAGTGGGTGTCTGTGGGTGGGTTTTGGTAGTGGGGGGGGGCTCCAGGGGTGGCTGTCTCTGTAATGGCACTCTTGTCCTTGTGAAGTCACCAGTGTCCCCAAGGATGTCACCAACATCACTGTGGTATCACAATTATCCCTTTGTTGTCACCATTCCCCTGCAAGGTCACTGGTCCCCAGAGATGTCATGGATGTCCCTGGGATGTCACCAGTGTCACCGATGATGTCATGGTGTCTCTGTGATGTCACCCTTGTCCTTGTGAAGTCACCAATAACCCAAATGATGTCACCGATGCCCACGTTATATCATGACCATCCCTTTGCTGTCACCAGTGTCCTGTGATGTCACTGGACCAAATGATGTCATTGCTGACCCTGTGATGTCACCAGTGTCACCGATAATGTCACTGGTGTCTCTGAGATGTCACCCCTGTCCTTGTGAAGTCACCGATGTCCCCAATGATGTCACTGATGTTCTTGGGATATGTCACTGGTCCACAATGATGTCACTTCTGTCCATGTAATGTCACCACTGTCCCCTGTGATGTCATCAATGTCCCCCATGATATCACTGCTGTCTCTGTGTGGTTATCCAGGTCCCCTGTGATGTCCTCGGTGTCCCTGTGACATCACGGCTTTCCCTTTGTTGTCACCAGTCCCCAGTGATATTTCTGGTCCCCAATGATGCCATTGCTGTCTCTGTCTTTGTCCTCAACAGTATCACCATGTTCCTGTGATGTCACCAATGTCCCTGTGACATCACGGCTTTCCATTTGTTGGCAACAGTCGCCTATGATTTCACAGGTTCCTCTGTGATGTCACCAATGTCCCCAATGATATCACTGGTGTCTCTGTGTTGTCATCTCCACCCCCTGTGATGTCACCAATGTCCCCATGACATCACGGCTTTCCCATTGCTGTAAACAGTCACCTGTGATGTCACTTGTCAATGATGCCCCTGTTGTCCCAGCAGTGCCACCATGTCCCTGTGATGTAATCAATGTCCCTGTGATGTCACCAGACCCTTTTGATGTCACCAATGTCCCTGTGACATCACTGCTGTAATTCTGTTGTGTCATTGATGTCACTGGTCCCCAATGAGGTCCCTGCTGTCTCTATGATGTCACCAATGTCCCTGATGATGTCACTGGTATCTCTGTGATGTCACCACGGTCCCCTGTGATTTCACCAATAGCCCTGTGACATCACGGCTGTCCCTTTGTTGTCAGCAGTCCCCTGTGAGGTCACTGGTCTCCAATGATGTCACCGATGTCCCTGTGATGTCACCACTATCCCCTGTAATGCCACCAGTGTCCCCAATGATGTCACTGGTGTCTCTGTGATGTCACACCTGTCCCCTGATGTCACTAATGTCCCCTGTCATGTCACAGATGTCCCCCTTGATGTCACTGGTATCTCTGTGGTGTCATCACTGTCCCCTGTGATGTCACCAGTGTCACCAATGATGCCACTGGTGTCTCTGTGAAGTCATCTCTGGCCTTGTGAAGTCACTGAAGTCCCCTGTGATGTCACCAATGTCCCTGTGACATCACGGCTGTTCTTTTTGTTGTCACCAGTCCCCTGTGATGTCATTGGTCACCAGTGATGTCACTGCTTTCTCTGTGATGTTACCACTGTCCCCAGCGGTGGCACCATGTCCTCGTTATGTCACCGATGTCGCTGTGATGTCACCAGACCCCTTTGATGTCGTCGATGTCCCTGTGACATCACAGCTGTCCCTTTCTTGTCACCCAGTCCCCTGGGACATCACTGGTTCCCAGTGATATCACTGATGTCTGTGTGATGTCACCACTGCCCCCTGTGATGTCACCACTGTCCCCTGTGATGTCATCAATGTCCCCAATGATATCACTCGTGTATCTTTGTGTTCACCTTCACCCCCTGTGATGTCACCAATGTCCCTGTGACCACACAGCTTTGCTGTAAGCAGTCCCTTGTGACATCACTGGTCTTCAATGATGTCACTGCTGTCCCTGTGATTTCATCACTGTCCCCAGCAGTGCCACCATGTCCCTGTGATGTGACCAATGTCCCTGTGACATCACTGCTGTCCCTCTGTTGTCACTCTGATGGCACTGGTCCCCAGTGATGTCCTTGCTGTCTCTGTGATGTCACCACTGCCCCCTGTGATGTCACCAATGTCCCCGATGATGTCACTGGTGTCTCTGTGATGTTGCCACAGTCCCCTGTGATGTCACCAATGTCCCCTGTCATGTCACAGATGCCCCCGTTGATGTCACTGGTGTCTCTGTGGTGTCATCACTGTCCCCTGTGATGTCACTGTTCCCCAATGATGTAACCTCTGTCCCTGTGATGTCATCACTGTCC